ATAGATAGATAGATAGATAGATAGATAGATAGATAGATAGATAGATAGATAGATAGATAGATAGATAGATAGATAGATAGATAGATAGATACTGTTCATAACTTTTCTGCAGAACCTGTCTTCAATAAACTTGAACTTTGTTCTTAAAGTCACTTTTTGAGGTTTTACTGAGGTGAAACTTGTTATCATGAGTTCTGTCTGTTCAACTTCTCCTTATTTATCAGGAACTAAATCAAAGTGTGGAGCTGGTTGGTCTGAAAGGCCAAGCTTATGCACTGTTACAGTGTATCTCTCAGAGGTTGTGTTGTTGTTGTGCAGTGTTTTGTTGTGTCACAGTTACTTTGTGTCCCTCTCAGATGCTGAACTCAGTYTTCTCCTCGGCCTTTGGCCTCGTCGGAGCCATTTACTGCACCAGCGTGGCCTCTGCYGGTTTGGCCATCGGACCAAAGTGTCTTGTGGGTGAAAAGTGGAAATACCCGTTTGAGGACACAGGGACGTGAGTCTGCCTCTCATCAACACTAATTTAACTTCACCTCAAGTCAACGACAACAGACGTGACTCTGGAGCCATCTTCCAGCAGTTCCTCCTTTTTYATTTCTTCTCTATTCTCTTATCAGAAGTTTTAATGCAGGAAAGTCAAACTGAGTTAAAATTTAAACTTAAGAACTTGATCCTTGTAGAGAGTTAAAATCATTCATTRTAAACTGACCTTGGTTTTCAGATGCAATGTGTCGAATTCATTTTATGAAAAAAGAAAAGACAAGGCCTAACAAATAATATTCACTGAATAAAAAATAGTCACAAATAAATTTAGACGTCAMTCATTTCTTACGTCTTGAATAATATCAGCACGTGTTTCATTTATTATTTTTTAGTAATACACAGTTGTGGGCATGGTTGTGAAAGAGATCGTGTTCAGTCACTTCAGTTGCAAATACAATATTGGATTTAAAAGGATCCACGATTAGTTGTAACATTAGACTTTATTTGATAATCATATTCTTTAACTGTAAAATAAAGACTGTAAAATACTGTAGGCTGTTTAGTTTTGTACAGTTTTAAAAATATATTTTAGCACAGACGGAGCCATTTTATCTACACACAAAGCATTCTGGGTAAATGATGATGTGGATAGGTCATCGGTGTGAGCGAGCTATATCCACCCTGAAGGTTAATCTTGGACAATATCTGATGATCGACTCTTTTAAATGAAACCAGAGAGCGTTGACAGAGAGGAGAAGGTAGAAATGACTCAGCCTGGAACTGAAAATATGGATGGAGGACAACAGAGCTGCTTCATGGAAGAAGAACCTCAGCTCAGCCTGTTAGCTTTTGCGCTAGCCCTCACGCTATATTGCCTTATATGTATTAGCTCGGTGCTAGTGCGACAAACAAGCTAAACTGTTGTCCTCCATCTATATTTTCAGTTACAGGCTGAGTCATTTCTACCTTCTCCTCTCTGTCAACGCTCTCTGGTTTCATTTAAGAGAGTCGATCATCAGATATTGTCCAAGATTAACCTTCAGGGTGGATATAGCTCGCTAACAGCCTCGCACCGAGGACCTATCCTCGTCATCATTTACCCAGAATGCTTTGCATGTAAATAAAATGGCCCCGTCAGTGTCATATATTTTAAACTTTTAGTTTAAAAAATTATAAAAACTAAACATCCTACAGTATTTTAAAAGTCTTTATTTTACAGTTAAAATAAAAGTTTATTAAATAAAGTCTAATGTTRCAACTAATTGGGGATCCCTTTAAATGTTTTATGCTATTAATAAAGCTATACGTTACCCACAGCTGGACCAAAATGCAGATGTTTATTGTCCTCAATTTTGGTGCTGAATCAAAGAACATAATGCCATATAAACAGTTTCTTCTTGAACCCAGCCCCTCTTCCAGCAATACGTCAGATCCGGGGCAGATCTCCCTACTGAAGGACTGGGCTCATTAACAACAGTTCAACAAAAGTAAAGTGTTGTGAGTGATTAAGACGTGTAACTGATCATAAGTACATTCTGTTTAAGGTGACTGTGACATAAGCCCCTCTAAAAAGATGCACATCAACTAAATCACAGTTTATTCATAAAATTAGATAATTACGCAGGTTTTCAAAACATATCCTACTTCTATTAGGAAAAAATAGCGTAGTACTTTAAAAATCTGTTACAAACAGAATAAAATTAGCTTTAGTGCTTATTTAAACTCAATGGCAGCAGGAAAGCTAAGTTGAAAGTTTGACGAGCCTAATTTGGATGATTTTTGTGATGCTTTTTTCTGCAATATAAAAAATTATGAAAATCCATCATTTCAAACTCACATTTCTCTTCTTCAAAATGCCACAAGAAGTTCTCACTAAATGTTTCTAGTTTTTAAGCACTATGAAAAGCAAATTGGCAAAAAAATCCTAATAAATACATTTAAAACTTTATCTCATAGACCAGCTAAAACTGTAAAAAGGTCTGTATCTGGCCCTCAGGCCTTGACTTTGACTCATGGGAGTTAAAGTGTTCATTTAATTTAAAAGAAAGTGGTGGTTGTGATATAATTATCTACTGGGAGGCACACTGAACCAAGAATGTTTTTTCAGCTGGACTTCTGTTTTTTTTCTCCTGAAAACTTGATAATGTTTTTATTTTATCCTGACCAGAAACATTTTTAAAAAATCACATAAAACATTAATTTTACTTGCATAAGAGTAATTAAGGGACTTGTAGCGCCATAAAAGTTAGACTTGTATACAGACTCACCCAAAGTAGTGGTGCGACTGATAGCAATGACGTGTTTTATGAGCTTTAAGATAAGATAACAGGTAACTGAAAGGACTGCGTTGTTAAAATTCAGGGAAGATTGCAGCTGTTTGTGTTCAGAAGGAGGAAACTTGGTTTTATTACAACACTTAGTTTAATTCCACCTCATCTCCTGCTTCCTCCAGCAAACTTCATTTTCTGGTTTCTCTGTTTCTGTTTGTTGTCATTGGCTTCTTTCGTTTACCATAATAGATCATATTTTGTACAAAACTGATGGTGGTGTAAATGTTTATAAGTTATCATAACTGTTAATATGTTTTAGATTGTATGTAGAGACAACAGTAATACATTTTATTCTTCTCTTGGGTTAGTCGCATCAGCTCTTTTATTCAGTCTGAACTATTTATTTAAAGTGGATCCATCTTGGTTTAATGCTTTTAGGTTTGTAKTTTAAAGTGAAATGCTTCTAATTTATCGTATCATTACTCTTGCAGTATCCTCATACCTGAGGATGAGTTTGTTTGGAATCAAACGAACTTAATCTGGATTTGTTTTGGGCCAAATTGAACTAAYCTGATACAGTTTTGCCCAGATGTTCACACTCACTCATCATAATTCTGTCTTTTAATTATTTATTTAGGCTATTACTTTAGTGAGRTCGAACACACAACTATAGTGATTTTTAAACACAAGAATTAGGCCCAATAATTTGCATTCATTGATACAGAGTCATTCACGTGGGCTCACAGTTGGTGAACATGGTYCTGCTAATCAGCAAACAGTGGAACAAATTTTTCACGGAATGGCCTTTTCACTAACTTTTAAAATCATCAGCAGCTGAATGAATTAGGTTTTGCAAACTTTAAGTCCCACCAGCCTTCAGCTGGAAGGAGACGAGGAGAAAGACTGACAGTCGTATTAGCGGTTAGCAATTAGGTGTTCGCCGCTACTATTTTTTTTTTTACTTGTTTAGCTGTTTAGTGTTAGCGTCAGCTAATTTTTGCATCTTCAGTCACTTAGCGTTAGCTTCTGCTTGTTTTTGGTTTTGTTTTGTTGTTACATGTTTAGCAGTTTAGCGTTAGTAAAGCTATATACTTCGGTTTGTGGATTAATGAGATAGTGAAGGTTGGTTACCTGTTCCAACGCTAAACATGCATTCAGCTAAATCTTTAAAAAGTGGTGATGAAGGTTCTTTTATGTATATTAGCTCAACGAGCCCAAGATTTATTAACTTCTTTTAGGGATCATGGTTGACCGCAGCTGGTAATTTTCTTTTAGCCAACATGAAAGGATTTGTTTGACAGAAATTATTGGACTGATCAACACTCAAAAAAACAGGACGCTCTGATAAATTCATAAGCAACTTCAGAWTTGAAGCTCCTTTGTTCACACAGCTGAGCTAAGCTGTTTGCGTACAATGACAGGTACTAAGAACTGTATGAACTGTCAAGCACGGTGGTGGTATCATGATGGTGCAGTGCATTATATGAACACAGTAAAGTAGGACTACCTCTAAATTTTTAACCTCTTTCAATTGTTTATAATTTCCTTTTATAAGCCTCAAACTCTTCACAGCCTTTCTTTCTGCACACATTTGTTTCTCTCCTGTGTGCTGCGGGTCCTGAGCAGAATCTGTTTTTCTCCTCCGCAGTGGTAACACCAGCTACCTGGTCAACCAGACAATGTGGTCAGTCTGTGATTACCCTAAAGACGTGGTGATGTGGCACGTTGTGCTGTTTTCCATCCTCCTGGGCATGGGCAGTATTCAGCTGGTGCTCTGCGCCATCCAGGTGATCAACGGCTGCATAGGCTGCATCTGTGGAGACTGTCGGAGCAGCAAAGATGTAAGTGAACATTTTCTATGGAGGACCGAAACTGACATAACTAAAAATAAAAGCCGAAATACGTAAATGATCCAATTAACAATTAAATACATTTCAAATAC